TCTTCAGGATCTTGCCAATTTCTTCAGGGGCCAGGCTAGCAAATTAAATGAAAATATAGTGGAAACTACTTTCCCTGCATCCTTTAGTTCTTTAATGGTGGCATGAACTTCTTAAAATATGAAACTGATTTTGATTTATCATCTTGGCTGAGTTGGGGGCAGTTTCAGAGGTTTCCTTTTGGCCTTCCCCACTATAATAGTTATACTTTACAGACCAGGGCCTGTATGGGGGCTATTCCAACTATGCACTTGGCTGCTTGGGAAATCATCCACAGATCAGATGGACCACTGTGAGTCAGATTTCAGAGAGGACTCCATTTATCACCTTGTCCCACTGTAACAGAGACTATGATGATATTTTGGGTTTCTGGGTATCAGTGTTAACTCAGATCCCATATTCAACAGTCCTTGAAATGTCTGGTTATCTCCTTTCCCCCACCATATAATTACATGAGTAAATGCCCATGGTATATACTTGCCATAGCATTGTAAGTTTCTTCCTTCTCGGGATCCATTACTTCAGCCAGTGGGTTCTAGATCTGCAAATTGGCTTGGGTTTGAGAACTAAACAAGAAGTTGTGGCTTTTGTTGGGAGCAATTATCCACAGCTTCCTGCTCCTTTATTCTTGCTCTTTGTGCGTTATAGATGTTAAGTAGCATTCTTGTTGGCTGCCTGTCTATTTTGCCTCTGAGGACATCATTTGCCATTAACCATCTCCACAACTTCCTGTGGCTCTAGTCCTGGTGGCTGTCTGTCTAATCATGCCAGGCACTGTGGTAATTGTGATCTCCTGGCTTCTATTATTTGAGGGCCCCCATTATGCATTCCCATGGGTATTAATGAGCCCAGCTCTGAGACTGCCTCACCCACCATCCTCCCTGGCACACAGCAGACAGCGATCACTGGACTTCTTTGATGCTGGTGCCCCTCCCACCAGTGCTTTTTGGTAGTCTTGGTGAGTGGTGTGTCATCTGGGACATATCATGGAACAAAATCCTCTAGCAGGTCTTCTGGTCTTCCCTAAAATATCCATTCCGTCATGCTCATTTTCCTCAAACTCTATTTCTTCCTCTACCATATATCAGGGGAATTTGGGCATTTCCATTTTGTTGAGAGTTGGGAGTCAATGAAAGATGAGAGAACTGTGAGACAATGATGCAAGTCTGATCCTATGTGGAGGCAAGGGGGAAGAGAGGTTGGGTGGAAGTATGCCAGATACTCACTCAAAGTCAAGTGAAAGTTGGCCATTATAGGCATCCTGTGTCTCCCAGGAAAAGGCCTGCCCTCCTGTCCTTGCTGTACTTGGTCATCAGCTGGGAGCAACCCATGGAAGCCTGGGCTTCACACAAATGTGCAGTGGATTTCAGAATGAGGCAGCTGGGTCCTTTGGGAATTAAGCTCCAAGTTGCCGTCTGTCAAGTACATTCTCATGATTACCAAAGTGTCCTTTATAGCAAAAAGAAATGTTTTCTAGTCTAAGCTCCAGCCTAGGATTACATGGTGCCTTTGTCTTGTCTTTCTAAGTGTTCTTCAACCTAGAACAGTCTTTCGGTTTGGGTTTGGGTTGGTTTAATGTTTTCTTTTATTTTTCCTTTGAAACAGGGTCTTGCTATATTGCCCAGGCTGGTCTTGAACTCCTGGCCTTAAGCAATTCTCCTGCCTCAACCTCCCAAGCAGCTGGGACTACAGATGTGCACCATTGAACCCTCTAATGTTTCCTTATAGTTACATTCTCATTGTGCTGTTTGGTTTTGTTTTATTGGGTCAGGAATACATAAGAAATAAAAACTGCTCTTTTTAGTGGCATGTAATTTAATTTTACTGTTGCTAATGATGTTAACTTGGATCAGTTGGTTAAGGTGATATATTCCAGGAATCTTTGGGAAATTAGTGTTTTTTCCTTTGTAGTAAATAAAGTATCTTGTGGGGATAAACTTTGAGACTCTGTCATTACCTTCAGTGTGTTAAAGATCTGACGGGATACAGAGAGAAAATAAAATTCTGGGTCATACTTTCATTTCTTATACCAGAAAAAGTAAATGAAACATTGGACTTGACAGAAATTAAGCTTGGACTTAACTGAGCTCCTTCAGGAAAAGCTTAATTACTTACTGAGATAGGAAAATCAACAGGACATTCTTGGATCTCAATGTGGGTACTAGGAGTGTCAGAGAACCAAGGTTTTCCCTCCCATTCTCTGAGTGGGATTCATATAAACATTGATAAAGGATGTCTCATCCTCCTGCAAGTAAACTTGTTCTGTCAAAATTTCACCCCACTGTGTCAAATGCAAACATTGTTCATAAGAAACAGCATAAACATGTTTATGCAAACTTTATTTTTTAAACATTTTACCAAGAAAAGTGAAAACAAGTGGAAAATATATTTTTCCCTGAAAAGTGAATATTATTATAAAGAAGTGGCTTGGATTTGAAAGCAAGTCTGTGGAAACACACATAAGGCTCTATGCTAAGATGTCTCACTGCTATAATCCTCAGTCCCCTAGTACAAGTTTTTGTAAAAAAAAAAAAACTTGGCCAGCCACAATGCCATTGAGCATTGAACTCCATAATCAATCTCCCTATGATTCTCGTGGAGAATGCAGAAGTGGGTTTTCTGTAGTGAGCGATCTGCAGACAACAGCATGCAGGCTCCAGCCTCACTGTGCAGACTGGGGGCAGTGACAGAGGTCACTGACACAGGGCTGGCCTAGACAGTGATTTTCCTTATGCTACTATAGCGATTCTTTCTGTGAGCGACTGTGTGCCCCAATAAAGTAACATGTCCCTTTAACCTACCACCTCTCCTCTCCTATTTAGTTTGTTGAAGCAAAAACAATATAAACATTGCATTAACCGTGTGTGTGTGTGTGTGTGTGTGTGTGTGTAACAAGACAGACAGAGAGAGAAAGAAGAGAGAGAATGAGCAGTTATGGCTCTTGGCATTTTTTACTAGACAAGAAAAACCTAAAGATTTTACTTTTACACTTGAATTAATTCTCAGAATAAGTCACATCTGCCCTCACTTTCCTCCCACTCCACACAAACAAACATGCAAACAGCTAGAAGAGCAATATTTTACCAAAGGCATTTGGCATTTTTCCTTTCTCATGACCCTGACCCTCTAAAAACTTAAGAATGTGGGAGAGGAGGGCTGGAACCAGAAATTCAGAAGTAGCGCTGGAACAATGATGACCTGGAAGCCAGTGGAGCTGAGGTTTCCTGCAGGAACTTTTGGTGAGGCGTGGATACTTTGGAGACCAATGGGTATGGATGGAAAGAGGAGCAGAAAGACTCCAACTCATACAGCAGTGAAAAGGAATGATCTAAATACATGAACAAATCTTTAAAGCAAAATGTTATTCTGCAAAACACATGCAATATGATACTTTTCTTTTTTATTTTTAAGAGACAGGGTCTCACTCTATTGCCCATGCAGGGGTGCAGTGGCACAACCATGGCTCACAGCATCCTTCAACTCCTGGGCTTAAGCCATCTTCCTGCTTCAGTCTCCTGAGTAGCTGGGACTTTACAGGCATGTGCCACCACACCCAGATAATTTAAAACAAATGTTTTGGCTGGGGTTGGTGGCTCACGTCTGTAATCCCAGCTTTTGGGAGGCTGAGGCGGGCGGATCACGAGGTCAGGAGTTCAAGACCATCTTGGCCAATATGGTATAACCCATCTCTACTAAAAATACAAAAGTTGCCAGGTGTGGTGGTGTGTGCCTGTAGTCCCAGTTACTCAGGAGGCTGAGGCAGAAGAATCACTTGAACCAGAAGGCAGAGGTTGCAGCAAGTCAGAATCATGCCATTGCACTGCAGCCTGGGTGACAGAGCAAGACTCGGTCTCAAACCAAACAAACAAATTTTTTGTAGAGATAGGATCTTGCTATTTTGCCCAGGCTGGTCTCAAACTCTGGGCTTTAAGCCATCCTTTCTCTCAGCCTCCCAAAGTGCTGGAATTATAGGCATGAGTGACCATACCTGGCCAACATGATGCCATTTACATGCAGCTTAAATGCATATAAATGTGTTGAAACAGTATCATGTATTGGTGAGGGACATATATACATATAATAAAAGTATGAACAGTGGCATGGAAATTAGTAACTTCAAATTCATAAAACTGTACTGGTTATCAGGTGAATAGGGGACAAGTGGAATGAGGGAATGAGACCAGCTGGGTACACAAATATTGCTAATGTTATTGCTTAAGCTGTCTGGTGAATACACGGGTGTTCAATTTACTATCATTTTGTACTTTCCACCTACTTTACCTATTTGACAATAAATTGAAAAATCAAAAAGTTATCCCATGACCCCAGACTCCAGAGATGACCGTAGGTGGTGTTTTCTAGACGCTTCCATCTGCCTTGATTTTCTGGTAACTGGCCACCATCCTTCTTTTCCTGCGCTGCGGAACCCCTACTCGGAGGGGGTAGGGGAAGGCGAAAACAGGCTTAATTTTCTTTTTTTTTTTTTTTTTTGGTATTCTATCCTCAACTTTTATTTTTTTTTTTTTATTTTTTTTATTTTTTTTTAATTTTTTATTGGATTATAGGTTTTGGGGTACATGAGCAGAGCATGCAAGACAGTTCATTAAAAAATCTGGAGACAACAGATGCTGGAGAGGATGTGGAGAAAAAGGAACACTTTTACACTGTTGGTGGGAGTGTAAATTAGTTCAACCATTGTGGAAGACAGTGTGGCGATTCCTCAAGGCCTTAGAAATAGAAATTCCATTTGACCCAGCAATCCCATTACTGGGTATATATCCAAAAGACTATAAATCGTTCTACTATAAGGACACATGCACACGAATGTTCATTGCAGCACTGTTTACAACAGGCTTAATTTTCTGCCTGGTTTCGTCCCAGTGGCCACACCTACGCCTGGCAGCAAAAGAAAGGAGGCGGAAGCAACATTCTGGAATTACAGGGGGTTGGGGGCGGGGGTAGGGAAAGGCGAAAAGAGGGACTTAATTTTCTGCTTTCCCCTTCCTCTCAGTGCCCTATCTACCAACACGTCTCACCGTAGCCCTTGCCCCTCTTCCAGCACAGAACTGGAGCAGTTGACGGGGTAATTCCAATAGGAATCGGAGGATTTGGAGGCGTCGGGGGAGAAACCTGCGGAGGGCTCTGCGAGCCTGAAGCACCCAGGAAGACTCCGAGCGGGTCCGAGGAGGCTCTGGAGGACCTGGGGGTGGACATCCAGGTGTCCTTCCCTGGGTGAAATCAGAACTGAACATCTAAAAAAAAAAATTGAAAACACGGAGAAGCAACAAAGAAGCGCTTCCCCTCCGCAGTCCTCCACAGTCCACCCAAAGTTGACCAAGCCTGTTGTCTTTGCAGGAGTGGGCTTCGCGCTCCACACAACGATGAGATTGGACCGTCCCTCTGTCTGTCTCCTGCGCGAAACCCCGCCCCGGGAGGTGTCACGGAGCTCAGCTGATATAAGCTCGGGACCTGCGGAGTCAAGTTCTCGGCTCCGGACTTGGAAGGCTCCGTTTCCTGCTCCTGGAGGGAGACGCGCTGCAGAGGAGAACCCCGACGGGTAATGAGTCCCTCGCGCTTCTTTGCGCAGGTCTTCCCCAAACCTCCCCAGGTCTGCGCGGGTTCTCCTGTGGGGCTGTGGCGAAGGCAAGGTGTGGCGACTGCAGCTCCCCAGGTCTGGATGCTGCCGGGAGAGCCTCTTTCCCGCTGGGGAGACTTAGTTTGTTGACTCAGGAGCACCTCTAACGACGCTAGCGGCAGAGGACCCGGGAGCTGGGAGGCTCGGAACACGGGGCGAGCCGGGGAGGAGGGAGAGGCGCCAACCAGCACAGCCTAAATCTTCTCAAACCAAGCCTGGCAACATTTCCCACGGTTCAGGAGCACGAAGGACTTAAGGGAAAATGACGAAATCGGGGACTTAGGCTCCCGAGGGTGAAGCTAAATGGGTTGTGGCCTGGGGACAAATAGGGCAAATGTCCAGTCTATGACAAGAGGCTGCGTCCCAGAGGCTTGCCACGTCAGTCTTCAAACTGTAACAACAGGGGCAGGCTACTAGGGTGGCCCACGAAGCCCTGTATCCCCCATGCAGCGGCTAACTAGAGCCCCTGTGGGTTCTGTCTGTAGTGGCTGAGACTGTGGTGTGATTCCCTTTCCCTTTTGCCGGAGTCCCAGGAGCCAGAGTCGTAGAAGCCCAAATTCTGGCTCACAAATCCGATGTGCTGTTGATGCCAAATACTGACACACAGGTGTTTGGAGACAAGGGAAGGTTTATTCCATTTGGCCAAAGCGAGAAGTCAAGAGGGCTAGATCTCTCAAATACACCCTTACAAAAATAAGTCGCAGAGAGTTTTTATGAGACTAGGAAGTAAGGTAGGGAGAGTTTCAGGGAACCTAGGGGGAAAGTCTGTGTTTCTTCATCTCAGATGACACCTGGAGCCACCAGATTTGTGGGTGTCAGCAGCTGGTCACTATGGTCTTAGAGGCATTCGTTCCATCTGCAAAATTTTTTCATGACCCTGAGGCTATATCCTCCTGCTTGACAAAGACACAGTTTGTAATTACATTGCTAGAACAAGGAATATTGGGCAAAAATGGGTATTTAACATATGCAAACAAGGAAAGGCCTCATCAGAATTTTCATGGTTTCATCACTAAAATGTTGGGGTGCTGAAATCTCAAGGGGCTCAGTTGCACCAGAAGGGCATCCTTTAGCACTAGTGCAGGCCGGAGGGGTTGCTTGAGGGAGAATGTGGGGGTGGGGCGGTGTTTCACAGCCAAGCCTCAAGAAGATGAGGGCAGTGCTAAAGTTTGTCTAGCCTTGCCCTGTGAGAATGGGGTGGAGACTATGCCTGCCTTTGTGGGGAAAAAGAAACTGATTCTTAATCTGTCTGATGGGAGATGAGAGTTCCTGTGGCAGGATAAACAGAGAAGCAATTCAGCGTGACAACATCCTGTATCAGAAGTGTTCATTTAAATGTCACAAGAGGTTGGGCGCGGTGGCTTAAGCATGTAATAATTCCAGCACTTTGGGAGGCTGCCGTGGGCAGATCACTTGAGGCGGTCGGATCGCTTGAGGTCAGGAGTTCGAGACCAGCCTGGCCAACATGGTGAAACCCCATCTCTGCAAAAAGTACAAAAATTATCTGGGTGTGATGGCACATGCCTGAAATTCCAGCTACTCAGAGCCTGAGGCAGGAGAATCACTTGAATTCCCCCCACCCCCACCTCCCCACATCCGAAACAAAAGTCACAAGACTTAAACTCTTTTGTTTGAGAAAATGAGCAGTTTTATTATTTCCGTGTAAGAGGAACAAGAGGAAAATGCTATAATCCACTCCTGGTCAGATTATGAAAATTCACAGATGTTTGCAGCAGTCCCCCTTTAACCATGGGGTATGTTGCAAGACCCTAAGTAGATGCCTGAAACCAGATGCCTGAAACCATGGGTAGTACCAAACCCTATAGCTACTATGTTTTTTTCAATACTTCCACTGTTTCACTTAAATAAAGGCTTTTCTTTGGCATATGTGAACTGCCAGCACCACTACTCTGGAGATTTGGGGCCATTAAATGAAATAAGGGAAGCAGTATTAGAGTCAATATGATAAGTAAGAAGGCTACTAAGTGACTAAGGGCCAGTAGCATAAACAGGGTGAGTACACCAGACAAAGGGATGATTCATGTCCCAGGTGGGAGCACATCCCAGGTGGGAGGACTCGTGTCTCAGGTGAAAGGACTCATGTCTTAGGTGGAAGGGAGTGGATAGCATGAGATTTCATCAGGTTATTCAGAGTGAAATTTGAGTTATGAATTGTTTATTTCTGGAGTTTTTCATTTAATATTTTTGGACCAGAGTTGACTGTGGTAACTGAAAGCATGGAAAGCCAAACCGATGATAAGGGAGGACTACTTTATACTATCAGAAAATAGAAATCATTTCCAGTATTATTGTCATGGCAAATGGAATCATACGATATACACTCTTTTATGTCCCGCTTCTGTCACTCAGTGTCATTGTGTTCAGATTCATCTATGTCGTTGTGGGTACCAATAGTTCTTTCCTTTTTATTACCATTGAGTAGTCTTCCATTATATGGATAATCAATACTGGCTTCTTCATTCATCTGCTGATGGGCATTTGGATTATTTCCAGCTTATGGCTTTTACAAATAAAAGTGTTATGAACATTCATGTACAAATCTTTGTATGGACATACGCTTTTTTTTCTTCTTGAGTAAGTACTTTGGTGTGGAATGGCTGGGTCATATGGTAAGCATATGCAGAACCTCTTAAGAAACTGCCAAATTCTTTTCCAAAATGGTTGTACCCCTTTATGTCGCTACTAGGAGTGTATGAGGGTGCCCATTCCTTCACATCTTCACCAACAGCTGGTATGATAGTCATTTTAGCCATTCTAATAGATGCATAGTGGTATCTCTCTGAGGTTTTAATAGGCATTTCCCTAATGACTAATGACTTTGAGCATAATTCAATGTGCTTATTTGCTATCTATATATCTTCTCTGGTAAATTGTCGGTTCAAATATTTTATTCATTTTTAAATTGTTTTTTTTATCGTTACTTTTTGAGTGTTCTGTGTATAATCTACTTACAAGTTCTTTATCACTTATGTAATTTGCAAACACTTTCTTCCAGTCAGGAGCTTATATTTTCTTTTTTTTTTTTCAACTTTTATTTTAAGTTCAGGGGTACTTGGGCCAGACATGCAGATTTGTTACCTAGGTAAACGTGTTGCCATGGTGATTTGCTGCATAGATCATCCCACCACCTAGGTATTAAGCCCAGCATCCATTAGCACCATCTTGATGCTCTTGCTCCTTCTATTGCCCCCTTGTCCAACAGGCTGGGGCTTATATTTTCATTCTCTTAACTGTGTCTTTCAAAAAGGAGAAGTTCTTAAAGTCTAATATATCTTTTATTATTTTTTTGAGACAGAGTCTTGCTCTGTCACTCAGGCTGGAGTGCAGTGATGTGATCTCGGCTCACTGCAACCTCTGCCTCCTGGGTTCAAGCAATTCTCTGCCTCAGCCTCCTGAGTGGCTGGGATTACAGGCATCTGCCATCATGCCCAGCTAAGTTTTGTATCTTTAGTAGAGTTTTGGTTTCACCATCTTGGCCAGGCTAGTTTTGAACTCCTGACCTCGTGATCCACCCGCCTCGGCCTTCCAAAGTGCTGGGATTACAGGCGTGAGCCACCACGCCCGGCTCCAATATATCATTTTTAAAAAATTTAAAAATAGATCACGAGGTTAAGAGATCGAGACCATCCTGGTCAACATGGTGAAACCCCGGCTCTACTAAAAATCCAAAAAATTAGCTGGGCAAGGTGGCACGTGCCTGTAATCCCAGCTACTCAGGAGGCTGAGACAGGAGAATTGCCTGAACCCAGGAGGCGGAGGTTGCGGTGAGCCGAGATCACGCCATTGCACTCCAGCCTGGGTAACAAGAGCGAAACTCCGTCTCAAAAAATAAAATAAAATAAAAGTGGTTAGTCCTAAGAAGGAGGATGACAAGGTCGGATGCAGGCATAGGTCCTACAAGCCTATTCAAGCTTGCTCACAGTCCAGTGAGTTTGTGGTTCTCCCCGAACTCATGTCCATGTGGACAAACTTCTTTGTGGGTCACCTATAAAACAAGCTCAGGTTCTTTTTCCATTTTGAGTTTTTGTCCTGAGAGCTTCATTTTGGTCCACAGGGAGTACTGTCTCTGCTTTTCTGCCTACTGGGAGACACAGATTGTCCAGTCTGGATTAGGAGGTGGCCAACTGTAAGACTGGGGACCTGAGACAGAAAATGCACAAGAATTATACTCCTACTGACAGTCAGCAGCTCTTATGGGGTCTTCTAAGTCTCCTCATCTAGAAAAACTGCTACTTTTTTGTACAACACTAACTCACGCACCTACCTTCCTGATGGCATGACTCCAAGGATGATTTGGGCCTTTAGTGGCTACTCTGGGGAACATTTGGCTTGAACAAAATTGTTCATTTGACATGGACCTTAGAAAAGCAGGAATAAGACTTCTCAGGATCAATGGGGCCACAGTTTTTTATTGGTAGGCAGAGGCCTCCAAATGAAATTCTGATCAAAAATTGCTTCATTAAAAGATTCTTTGCCCAAAACCAATGGGAAACTTGATAGACGTAAGCAACAATAAACTAGACTCATTTCCTTAGTAAATGCTTCTTTTTCTTGTCCTCCAGTTGCCTCCCAGTATCCAGTTCCCTCTCTTTTCCCCCTTATCCTTCTATTAGGTTGGTGCAAGAGTAATTGTGGTTTTTGCCATTACTTTCAATAATCTCTCTCTTGTACTTCAGTGAACTCTTTACTTCTCTTCCCCTTGTTCAGACTCCTTCCCTTTGCTTAATAACTCTCCTAAAACTCCAAAATTCCAGTTGCCTCTGAATATCCATTCCTCTCATTAAACCAGTATGTGAGCATCTGTAGAATTTAAACCTTGGATCTGAGCTGAATTAAGACTTATACTTAAAGGTTTCCCTAAACCTAGACAAGACCAGCAAAAAGCATAAAAGAATTTAGAA